AATAAGGAACCCACGCAATAGTACAGGTAATTATTTAAGCCCCTATATTACCACTGCAGCAATCCTCAACCTTGCACTCTCCTGAAACCTAAATCCCAAACCCCAAGTCCTGTCACTGTTGAACGGAAGCGTTTACAGCCTGAACCTCCAGTCTCTTATCTTGCACCCTCAACAAATCCCAAATCCTAAACCCAATCCCCTAAATTCGAAATCCCGAAACCACAAACCAAGTCTCGAAAACGTGCTGTATGTATGTATGCATGTATGTATACATGTATATACATACATGTATGTATAGAATCGTATAGAGCGTTTACTAATCCCTTCTTTCTGGCTTGCTTTCTTTCCTTCTCTCTCTCTCTCTCTATCTGGTTGTCCCTGCCTCTAAACCCTAAACCCCAAAACCTCAAAACCCCAAAACCCAAAACCCCAAAGCCTAAACCCTAAACCCTACAACCCTACAACCCTAAACCCTAAAACCGAAAAACCCAAAACCCTAAAGCCCTAAACCCTAAAACACTAAACCCTAAACCCTAAAACCCTAAAACCCAAAACTCTAAACCCTAAAGCCTAAAACCCTAAAACCCCAAACCCGAAAGCCCCAAACCCCAAACCCTAAACCCTAAACCCTCAAACCCCAAACCCTAAAGCCCTAAACCCTCAAACCCCAAACCCTAAACCCGAAACCCTAAACCCTAAACCCTAAACCCTCAAACCCCAAACAGGAGGGTAGCGGGGCGGCCGAGCCGAAGAGATCCGGCCTTTCGAGCTGGTGCTGGGCCTGCTGCTCTTGCTCTCGCCTGAGCAGCTTCGGTTTAGGGTTGGTTTCGGGTTTAGGGTCGAGGGTTTAGGGTTTCGGGTTTAGGGTTTAGCGTTGAGGGTTGAGGGTTGAGGGTTTAGGGTTGAGGGTTTAGGGTTGACGGTTTTAGGGCTTTAGGGCTTTAGGGTTCTAGTGTTTAGCGTTTCGGGTTTAGGGTCGAGGGTTGAGGGTTGAGGGTTTTAGGGCTTTAGGGTTTAGGGTTTCGGGTTTAGGGTCGAGGGTTTAGGGTTGAGGGTTTTAGGGTTGAGGGTTTTAGGGCTTTAGGGTTTTAGGGTTTTAGGGTTTAGCGTTTCGGGTTTAGGGTCGAGGGTTTAGGGTTGAGGGTTTAGGGTTGAGGGTTGAGGGTTTTAGGGTTGAGGGTTTAGGGGTTTAGGGTTGAGGGTTTAGGGGTTTAGGGTTGAGGGGTTTAGGGTAGAGGGGTTTAGGGTTTAGGGGTTTACGGTTTAGTGTTTAGGGGTTTAGGG